ATCTATCTATCTATCTATCTATCTATCTATCTATCTATCTATCTATCGACAAGGTCTCACTACGTAGCCTTGGCTGTCCTGGAACTCACTATGTAGATCAGACTGGCATTGAACTCATACCACAGTACAAATACTTTTTTTTTTTCTATCCTTGAAACTTAATTTTTAGGAAAAACGATCAACAGAACCTCACTTCCTTTTGACAACAGTGCTAATATTTGGCTCCAAACCACAGTGTCTAGAACTCTTTTCCCATCTTCTTCCTGTCACAAGTTAGATGATTTCTGTGAAGTTTTGAACAATAATTATTGTATGCAAGTAAAGACACGTATTACTATCACACTTCACATTCCATGGGTAAGATGTGTTACCATCACCTGCTTCAAAGCAGAGCAGTCACCTGATCTGACTAGAAAGCTTGACAGAACACACTCAACTAGTACAGCAGTAACAGGTGGTTTTTCCAAGGCTCAAAGGCCCCAGTTCATGAAACATACCCCAATGAAGAGGGCACTTTCCACAGAGTTCCATTATAGTCAAATGATTAAACCACACAGTTAACTTTTAGGACATGGTATCACTTATATTAGGAAGCTAGGGGGTGGGCATAAGATGAGTCCACAACAGTAAAAATGAAAACTTGGGGGCCAGAGAGTGGTTCTTCATGAGGACCTGAGTTCTGATTCCAGCACTCACGGTACAAGCTGGGTGTGGTCTTGCATGTACCTGTAATCCCACTGCTGTGGGGGAGGGGAACAGGAGACTCTACAGGACTTGTCAACCACCAGCCTAGCAAAATATGCAAACTACAAATTTAGGAAGGGGCTCTGCTTTAAGGAACAAAGGCATAGATAGATGAGGATACCAGAGATCTTCTTTGGACATCTTTGCATACACCCAGGCATATGAACTTGCACACACACACGCATGCGCTCTCTCTCTCTCTCTCTCTCACACACACACACACACACACACACACCACTCAGGAAGATATATGCATAAACCACACATATAAACACTCCACTCATACATAATAAAATTGGGAAAGCAGTCTCTAAAAACAATTGCTTTAAAAACATCACATCTGTTGTTCTAAAACTACTATGGTAAGCACCATACAAGAGATCTAGTATAAAAACTTTACATCATCAAAATCTTACAAGTTGGATACAAATAAGCTGTTGTACAGATTAATAGCTAAGACGCACACTGCTAACAAGTACTGTATATAGAATAGAACTAACTATACTTGCTATTACTGTGTTGTAAAGTTCTTTTGTAAAACTATCAAAAATCTTTAAATGATGCACTTGGTTCTTGTCATATAAATACCACCTTAAGATTACTTATTCTCATGCTGTGCAGGTAGCTCTCTGTATTTGCAGATTCCATGACCCAAGGATTCAACCTAATGTGGATTACAAACACTGCAGGGTAGAAACTGCCTTTGTACTGAACACATGTATACTTAGTTTTTCTTTAATCATCCTTAAACAAGAAGATCTTAATATCTGCAGAAGATCACCCATGATAGATGCTGGGGGAATGATTCATGAAATAAGGTTAACTTATCAAACTATAGAAAGACATCAAATGATTTCCATGTGCAAACTATATTTGCTACATTATCTGAGTCCCTGGGAAAGTCCTGCATCAACTTCAACTGCATGCCCTAAGAAAGGTCTTTTCTAGCCCCTTTCTGGGATGCTTCAGAGCACACAAGAGCATGCCTGGTATTTTGGCTGGTCCAAATCCTTTGTCTAAACTTATTAGGGGAAATGTTCTGGGAGCTGAAATTAGTAACCCAAGCTGGAGAAGTATGGGCTGTTGCTTATGACCTTGTTTTTGAAGTGTTCTGTTTTTGCTGGAGTCAAAATGTGGTTTCAAAGTCAGACAAAAGCAAGAACAACCTTTATTCTCAAGGCAGCTATTTACTGTCTAAAGTTCACAGACAGACTGATCTAAATCTAAAAGCACACGGGGTGACTCGCCATCCATGTCATAACACATGGTATCTCCTAAGTGCCTTTGTGGGGCTTTATACAGTGTCCACCCAGTGATCCTGCAAAAAAAAGAGAACTGAGTTATAGATAAGACATTCTAATCCAGAACGGCCACCTAACTCAGGCTTGATGGGGAGGCACCATTTATACAGAGCCCTAAGGATGCAGTTTGGGAAAGAAAGAGAACTGTCCTAAATGGCACATTTCAAGCTATAAAGAAAAATGTACAGCATAGTTAGGAAAGAAAGTAGGATTCAGGATGAGAGAGAGGAGGTGTGATGGCTAACTTAGGTTGTCAACTTGGCTACACAAGTAATTAACTAAAACCCAACCAGCAGGGCATGCCTGCCTCTGTGTGTGGAGGGGGTTCTCGATTGGATCATTTGAGGGCAGAAGACCTGTCCTAAGTCTGGGTTACACCTTCTGGTGGAAGCCTATATAAACAGATGTGGTAGAACGAAGCTTTTGCTTTTCGCCTGCATGCCCTCACTGTCCCTGCTAAGTCCATCTATCCTGCTGGGGAGGCTGCCCTTCACTGGCAGTGGACATAGCTCTTCAGGACCCTACACAGCCAGAGACCAGCAGAGACAGTCAGCTCGGGGGCTGAACAACTACTGATGCTTGGCCTTGCTGTCACAGACAGCCACTGATGGACTAGCAGCCTGTAAGTCACTCTAGCAGACCCCTCTTCTACAGAATCACTCTATCAATTCTGCTCCTCCAAGGAACCAGACTAATACAGGGAATATAAACAAAAAACACCAGGTTTTGCTTGGATATTTCTTAAGAATTTTAAGATGGTTGCACACACTATGGCAGATAATTTAGGTATAGGAGGGGTGTGTGTGTGTGTGTGTGTTTGTGTGTGTGTGTGCAATTGGGAAACAGTATCTCCAATTAGCAATGAGAACAGAGAGACATTCAGAGGCAGAGACAAAAGGAGCAGTAGTTTTTTTTTATTTTTATGGTTTATTTAACTTTATTTTATGTGCATTGGTGTGAAGGTGTCAGACCTCTTGCAACTGGATCTTCAGACAGTTGTGAGCTGCCATGTGGGTGCTGGGAATTGAACCCAGGTCCTCTGGAAGAGCAGTCAGTACTCTTAACCACTGAGCCATCTCTCCAGCCCCAAGGAGCAGCAGTTTTACAGCAATGTAAATTCCTGAGTTGAGTAGTCACATGGGGACAGTATAATCAAATGAGATCAAGAAGCATAAGAGGAAGAATGGGTAAGGCTGAGAACAGAGTCAGCCCTCTGCACCTCAGGATTCTGCATCTGTCCTTTAACCAACCACATGCTCAAAGTATTTAGGAAAAACTTTGAATCTATAACCTTGCACATTTCTCTGTAATTTTCTAAATAATATAATTTTATAATCAGTTACAATGTATTTACATTAGGTGTTATGTGGTGGTTCAAGACTTTAATCTCAATACCCAAGAAGCAGAGGCAGGAGGTATCTGTGAGTTCTGAGTCTGAGGTCAGCTTGATTTTTATAGAAGAGTTCCAGGTCAGCAAGTCTACACAGGAAGACACACATACATGCAATTCAAATAATAAACAAATAAACGAATAATAAAGTGTAAAATGAAAGGAGGATCTAGGTATAACACTCTACCCAACAACATGAGTAAAACAGGCAGAAGTAGGTTGTGAGAACAAGAGTAAAAGAAATGGGCACAAGACAGTGAGGAATTTAGCACAGAAGAAAATACCATTTTCCCATCCTAGCCACAGTCATTAAATGGTAGAAAAAGTACCTCCAAATATAAAACAGATTCAAAACAAAGTTGAATAACAGCAAACAGAGTCAAACAATACATTTCCCCCTTCAATACTCCTAACCTTCAGTCAGTTAACCTTCATGATCTGAAAATACAGGTTTCTGGGGCTGGAGAGATGATTCAGTAGTTTAACAGCACTGACTATGAACCAGGCCTGGTTGTGTGCACCTTTAATCCCAGCACTTGAGGCAGAGGCAGAAGTCGGTGGATCTCTTGAGTTTGAGGCCAACCAAGGCTACATAGTGAGATCCTATCTCAAGAAACAAACCACCACTACTACCACCACCAAAACATTGGCTGCTCTTCCAGAAGACCCATGTTCAATTTCCACCACACATGGTAGTTTCAGACCTCTTTTGCCACCAGGCTTGCACATGCAGACATATAGTCTAAACACTCATACACATCAAATAAAGTAAATGTAAATATTTTTTCTTAAAGAAAAGATGCTGTCAAAAAAGGGGAGGGATCCTAGATACTCTATAGACATACTGAAAGGGAGAAGTATATCTACTATTTTAGTAATATGATGATATAATTAATAAAAAAACCCACAAATCAAATCCAGGTATTTTTGACTCAGCACAACGTGGTTATAGGTACGATTTATTCTGAATGAATTACGTTACTAGTAGAGCTAATGTAAAGTCATCAAATAAAAATAAAAACCTTATTCCGGATGGTGGTGGTACAGCGTTTAATTCTAGCACTCAGGAGACAGAGGCAAGTGGATTTCTTTGATTTCAAGGCCAGAACTGGTCTGGTTTACAAGCGAGTTGCAGGACAATCAGGGATAAACATAGAAACCCTGTCTTAAAAAAGCTAAAAACAAATAAAAAACCCCAAACCTTTCTCATTGCATTTGTCTTTACTCAACTGACTTCAAAACAAAAGAAACCATCCTTACCAAACAAGTGAAGGCGATTGGGTCTTTGAGAATTGTATGTTGGGGATAGAACTGGTTTAGTGACTAAGAGCACTTTTTGCTCTTGCAGAGGACCTGGGTTCAACTCCCAGTATCCACATGGAGACTTACAATCACCTGTAATGGTAGTTCCAGGTAATTTGACACCTGAACTTCTGAACTCAGTGAGCACTAGACACACCTCTGGTGCACATATATGCATGCAAACACTCATACACATAAAATAATAAACTGATTAAAAATTGAGAATTCTATGTTATTATAAAACCCTAGGACAAAAGCCCACGGGTGATACTTCTGGCCGATTCCAGGGGTGTGGAGTCAGTTCTGCATATTATGCTCAGTTCAGTTCTCTAACCAATGTCAAACACAGCTCTTCTATTTGATCTTTCAAAAAATTATTATTATTTCTTTATTTGTGTGTGGGCTTTGTTACATGCCACAGGTCACATGTGGAGATCATAGGACAACGTTAGGAAGCCAATATTCTCCTTCTGTATGTGGGTTCTAGGAATCAAATTCAGACTGTAAACACCTTCAGTCACTAAGCCATTTTACAGACCCATCTATTTGATCATTTAAAGTGTTTCTCTTTATCACTGCAAAGATCCCTGCATCTAACTAAAATTCTATTACTGTGAAAGGAAGAGCCAAAAATTATAACCGTAAGAAATAATTTGGTCTTGGTGGTAGTAACATTGTAATTTTATTACTTTTGAAAGCTGAGTACCCTATAAATTAAGATGTTGTTTAATAAAAACAAAGGTCTATTCAGGAAATGGTCTTAATCTTTGGCTTATATTGTCAACTGAAATGATCAAAATTTAATGTTTATAATGTATAGAAACGTTTCCATTAAGCTAAGCACTACAGAAGTCATTAGTGGTAGCAATAGTAATACAGAAAGGTATGGTGGTTTGAATAAGGATGGCCCCCATAGGCTTATATTGAATGCTTAGTCACCAGAGAGTAGGATTCTTTGAAAGAATTAGAAGGATGAGGAGGTGTGGCCCTGTTGGAGGAAGTATGTCACTGAGGATGGCTTCGCGGTATCACAGGCCCATGCCAGGCCCAGTGCAAATGGCAAGTGTGGAGAGAATGTCCACTGCGGCTTTCTCCCTCCAGATGCTTATGGTCTAAGATTGCTCCCCTAACAGAGATTGCCTCTACCAGGATCAGCTAACTCTGCCTCTTTGTTCAGCTGTATACTATTAATGCTGGCTCCCTGTTCACCATACGCAACCACCCTATTTCCCTTTTTAGTTGTACATAATAAACACAGAGCTTCTAGGGCAGCTTTTCCATCTAAGAGCCCAGCTCACCTGGCCCTAACTTTACAATACTTTTGTCTGGCTATCTGCAATTTTTTCATTTCCTAGTCCCTGCTTGTCTGAATTGTGGTACTCAAGCCATGCAAGTGTGGCAGCACATTTACAATGGCGTGTGTCAGGGAAAGCCAACATTTCACAGTACCAATGATGACTTGACATACTTCACTAAATACGTATTTTTTGAGACAGGGTCTCATGTAGCCCAGGCTGGCCTCAGCTTCACTATGTAGCTGATCTTGGCCTTCATCTGTCAAGTACTAGGATTACAAGTATGTGTCACCAAGCCCAGAACTACATATGAACATTAAAAACTGAAAATACCCAGAAAGCTTTTATGTACTTTTTCCAAGTGTGAAGAATTGCTTTTATGGTTCAAACATTATTTTATGGTTTCTGTTAATAGCAAACTTTCTACAATATTTTTCTTTCAAGATAAGATAATGCTAAAATTATCACAGAAGAAAGCTGAAATGAAATGTTAGAAACTTTTGCAATTTATCCCAATTATTCCTTACAAATAGCAAAATGTTCTGTTGTATGTGTGTTTACACATACATGCATGTGTATGATCATGTATATATATACGAACATGTATGTGGAGGCCAGAGGCTAGCCTCAGATGTTGCTTCTAGGGACTATTCACCTGTTTATTGAGACAACATCTCTCACTGGCAGGCTTGGCACTTACTACGCAGACTAGGATTAACTGGCCAGTTGGCCAAAGGTATCTTCGTGGATCCACCTCACCACTCCAGTGTTGAGATCATAAGAGCATACCACCATAGCTGACACTTTCCCCTTTTTCTTCAGGATGTATTTTAACTTATATGTGCGTATGCATGCAAAGGCATCCAAACCCCTGCAGCTGGAGTTACAGATGGCTGTGAGACGCCTGATATAAATTCTGAGAACTGAACCTGTGTCCTCTGGAAGAGCAGCAAGTGCTTTTAATCACTCAGCTACTTCTCCAGCACCACAGCTGATATTTTATTTTATTTTTTTTAAGGTTTTTGGTGTTTTGAGACAGAGTTTCTCTGTATAATAGTTCTGGCTGTCTTGGAACTCACTCTGTAGACCAGGTTGGCCTCAATTTCAAGAGATCAGTCTGCCGTTGTCTCCTGAGTGCTGGGCTTGAAGGTGTGCACCACCACTGTCACGCCTTACAGCTAACATTTTAAATCTGTTTCTAGTGGTAAAAATTCAGATCCTACCAAGCAACCATCTAGCCTGCACAGCATTCTTAGACTAAACCCTAAGAGTTGAAATTACCTAGCAGTTACCTAGTTTGGCAGCAGCCCAAGAACGGGGTCCAGGGAAAGCCCACCAGGGGAGAAAAAAGGAAAACCTAGTCGGCAGAGCAGTGACTCCAGTTGCATGTAGCTCCAGCCTATGCTGGTGGCTGCAAAGACACAGGCAAGTGGCTTTTTTTGGGAATTCATACTCCAAAAGCTGGGTGCCAGATATAGCACGAATTCTAACTGGTCTTAATAAATAAAACCCAGAGTCAGATATTAGGGGGGTGAAAGCTGAAGCGTCAGAGAAGCAGTGCAGCCAGCCACTAGAGGTATCATTTACTTTTGCCAATGTTCAGACCAAAGGGACAATTCTGTCCTTAGACTGTCTCCTCAGATTGCACCTGAGCTTCTGCCTCCTCCCACCTTATAGTCCTCTCTCTGCTCAGCCATACTCCTTCCGGTCTCTACCTCCTTAAAGGTGTGGGACTCCCAAGAACTGGGATTAAAGGTGTGAGTTACCACCACCTGGCCTCTAGTGGCTTAGCTTTGCACTCTGATCTTTAGTTAAACTTTATTTGTTAAAACACAAACAAAATATCACTACAGTAACTATACCACCTCAATCTTACTTTGAAGAAACATGAATGGATGGACACAAAGAACAATTTCTAAATTATGCATGATATGAAACAACTGAAATTATGTTTGAAAATATCACTACCAATGGTTTATAGTTTTATAGTTTCCTTCTATTATTTTAATACCTTTTTAAATATCCCATAGGAACAAATAATCTTAAATACTACAACATACCTTGCCGTGAGGATCAGCAAACATTCTCGTGAAAATTTCACATAATCTTTTCAGTTCAACTCGACTGCCAAAAAGAAAGGAAAAAAAAAAGTTGATTAATATAATATATTGCTATAGGGTGAAGACATTATTTAAAAGTAAGCAAGCCTACAAATAATTAAATTTACTAATAAAGACAATAAAAAGGTTATACAAAGTATTCCTCAAGATTGGGAAATGTGTGGTTTATCAGGCCAGGATAAATGTGCCATTGTGAAATGTAGTAATAATTCCTCTACAGCCCACACTGCTTATGGTGACAGCACTGAGGGCAAGAACTGCATTTCATCAGCAGAATGTGTAAGGAAAAAAACTGTATGCAGGGACCCACATGAGAATTTTATTAAATGTTACAGTGTTTTCTTAAGTTCTACCTTTTTCCAAATTATGCACTCTTTTCCATTTAAAATGACATGTTGCACCTACTACTCTTGATATTATGATTAATTGCACTGAATTACACATAATATGTATACCTAAAAATATATAAGGAAGTATAAAAATAAACATTTAAAGTATGCATTCCTAATACATCTCAAAATGTATGAACAAAAAGTATATAAAATACCAATATTACTATTCTCAAGTGAGAAAGCAGCTTACTACACTTGTACTACACTAACACCCATGAATTACCCAAATCTGATTTTTTGGAGACAGTGTCTCCCTGGCTGCCCTGAACTCATTATTTAGATCAAACTGGCTATAAACTCAGAGATAAATTGCCTCTGCCTCCTAGAGTACTGGGATTAAAGGCATGTGCTTACTCCATACCTAACCTGAAGTTGGGTTCTTATGGAGTCAACTATATAGGTTTAAAACACAGCATCAACAAGGACAATGGAAGATTTAAGAATGAAGCACACTAAACCATTAAGAGAAGCACTCTAAGCCGGGCAGTGGCGGTGATCCTAACACTCCCGGAGGCAGAGGTAGATGCAGTTCTGTTCAAGGCCAGCCTGGTCTATAGAGTGAGTTTCAGGGTAGCGAGAGCTGTTAACACAGAGAAACCCTGTCTCAAAAAACAAACAAATAAAAAGTACCGTACCAACTTTATAATCACACCTTATTTATTTTCAATTCCAAAATTACTAAGATATTGACTTGTTTTGAATAAAGAGATTGCTTTGTTGTTGTTTTTGTTGTTTTTTCTTTCTAGACAGGGTTCTTTGTGTAGCCCTGGCTGTCCTAAAATTAACTTTGCAGAAAAGGCTGGCCTTGAACTCAGAGATCTGCCTGCCTCTGACTACCAAGTGCTGGGATTAAAGGCATATACCACCACCGCCTGGCTAAGGTGTTTGATTTTTAAGTCTCTGTGTGGGTGCATTTTTCTGTGTGCTCATGTGTGCTCATGTGTGGAGGTCCTCTATTGCCAGTCTTTGCCTTCCATTTGAGACAGAGCCTCTTGTTTTGCTGCTGCGCACACCAGACAGCTGGACTGAGTTTTCAGTTCTTCTCCTGTCTTGATCTTCCATCTTTTCAAAGGAGCACTGGAATTATAGGGAACTACTGTGTTCAGTTTTACATGCTTTCCGGGGACCCCATACTCTAGCACAACAAGCACTTCATTCAGGAAGTCATGTCCTAAACCTGAAAGTTTGGCTTTACAATGATTCAGTAACTACAGCAAGAAATAACAGCAGTTTTAGTTATGACACTGGGGGCCCTAAAAGAGTATGGCTTGGGAAAACCTTTAACATAATTTCTGACACATTTCACAAAAACAAGTCAGAAGGTGCTAGCCTGCTTGAAAAGTATTTCATGACACTTCTCACCTTAGTGTTCTCTGGTTTTTTAACAAGTTCTGCAGACCCAGGAGGCCTTCTTTCCTTTCTGACCAATTGGAACTAGCACATCTGTTGAGAACTTCTGCCACGTCTTCTGTCTGTCTCATGTAGGTAGGAATACTACCATTTCGAGAGCTATAGGAGCGTTCTGAACATGCGCTCGAAGCATCGCTGTTGGCATCATCATCTGAGTGCATTCCGTATGATTCATATCTTCTTCGAGCAGGTTTTTTCTGTTACATATAAGAACTACATTAGCAGTAGTTAAAAACATGTGGGTATTTCATAGTGTTTATTCACCACAAAAGGACTGATTTCTGTCTTACATCAGTGGAGGGCATGCTGCTAACCATTGTAAAGATAAAATGTCAATATCTAGTTTTTGTTCAGGAAGGACTTTAGAAGTTAGTAGAACATGAAACATTTAACTCTGAGAGTAGGACAAGAGAAGGTGGCTGTGTGCAAGCGCAGTCATGTCATGTGGGAGGCGCTCAAAAGTATAAGCTTTCTCCTCAGAATGGAAAAAGCAACAACAAACAGAATGTAAATAAAAACAGGAGTTGATAAGAAGAAAATACCACCTTCTGAGGAGTAGAACCATGATTCCCTTACGCAAAACACCAGGTTCGTTCCTGTCTATACATATCCTCTTTTCTATTTCTCTTGCCATTTCCCACCCTTTGTTCTAACCTTTACGCTGTCAAGAGAAATAAAAAAAAAAAAAGATGATGAGAAAGTGCTATGCTCACTAAAATTTTTAGGAAGCAGGGTGTTTATGTGTCCCTAGAGTTTTCTCAATGTAATCTATGTCTGCTGCTTATTCTGAATGAGAAAGCAGTTGAGGATCCGACCTTCATTTCTTGACCCTAAGGTTTATAATTTATGTAACTGCCCAGTATGCCTTTCACATTAAAAGTGGCATGAGGTAGAGCAAACTGTTCATTTGAGATTTTCCAGGAGAAACGGGAAAAAAAATGTATAGACTCTAATGCTTGGATTTGGCTGGGGGAGAAGTGGAGCTAATGCCATGAAACACACAAAGTATAGCAGTAATTCAAAATTCCAAACATCTACAAATACTCTAGTCTAAAATCCTAGAAACACACTATCTGAATATAAATAATCAAATGCTTTTACAAAGCTGCTGCCATTACTAACTCTCTCATACTGACCTAGAGACACTAACTCAATTTAGAACGCCAATGTTTATTCAGGTGGGCTCCAGGACCAGTTCTATTAAATGACTCATCTCATGTATGACAAAAGTGGCACCTTCCCAAGACACTCTGTTCAGTCAGTATCCCCCAGAGACAATTACAGTGGAAGAACAACAGAGAGACAACTCAGGGTTTTATTACATCCACTGTAATTTCTTATAGATGACTATTATCTGTTTAGTTGATGAAGCAGAGAAAAAAAAGCTATGATATCATAAGACGTCATAAAACAGCAATGTCTATACCTTAGTCCGTATGTCTCCTAAGAGCTGAGAGCAGTCAATTTTTAAAGAGAGAAATTGAAAATAATGAAGAACATTTTGCTAAACAGCACAGTGAACTTGGCATTAACAATGTCCATGCATAGAAACATTCAGTTTTATAACATACAGATACCAAAGAACTGTATATTTTCAGGTTTTATCTTTAATCTTGTCAGTATCCTTTAAAAAAGAAACACCTAACCTACAAAAACATTTCTATCAACAGTTTCCCAAAGAAACTCAAAATATTCTTACTATTTATAGCCTTTTTGCCATTTCTAAATTTGGTTTGGTAGTTGAAAATTTTACATAAAGTTGACAGTTACATCAGTGCTATGCAAATAATAAAAGTAGAATTAAGTAAGAGTACTAACATTGTTATCATCACATGATGATATGCAAAAAGTCACAGCTATTACCAATGAATTTTTTTATATTTATTTATTTATTACGTGTACAATATTCTGTCTGTGTGTATGCCTGCTGACCAGAAGAGGGCGCCAGATCTCATTATGGATGGTTGTGAGCCACCATGTGGTTGCTGGGAATTGAACTCAGGACCTTTGGAAGAGCAGGCAATGCTCTTAACCTCTGAGCCATCTCTCCAGCCCACCAATGAATATTTTTAAAGTATGTCTTTGACACCTACAGTCAAAAAAATCTACAGTCAAATATATATTTTTTTAAGGCAAACATTGGACTTCTAAATTTCAAAATAAAGCTGAAGGGCACAGGGTGCCAGCTTAGTGCTGCTTGCCTGGGATGCACAGGCTCCTGCACCAGACGGAACTAATTTCCAGGCAGAAATTCAGCATAAACAAGGTTGAGTTCAGTGCCAGTACCAATCCAAATACCCAACTCTCAAGGAGAAAACAAAGAAATACTCTGAAACAGAGGATTACTGGCATCATTATTTGAGTCACCTCGTTTTCAGTGCTAACAACTGAACTTTTTTTGTGCATGTGAGGTCAGCCCACTACCATTCAGCTACACCCCTAACTGTAAGCCATAACTTGAAAGAGTCATACTGGACTGACTATGGAAGTTAACCAAATAAACAACAACTATCATTTCAAGTCTTCATAATTCATATTTTTACATTATGTATGTACACAACAGTATATTTACATTTGTGTATATACATATGGTACAAAGCATTCTTCCTACAATTACCCCAATTCTGTAGTGTTTTTTAATATGTGGAGCATAAAGAACCAAAGAAGCATCTTAAATAAATAATCATTCCAGGAATGGTGGTATGTTTCTTTAATTCCAGGACTCAGGAGGCCAAGGCAGGTGGAGTTCTATGAGTTCAAGGTCAGCAGGGTCTACATAGAGAGTTCCCAGACAGCCAAGACTGCATAGTGAAACCCTGTCTCCAAAACAAAGCAAACCCCTACAAACTCAAGGTGAAGATTACCTTGAAATTACATGTTTGTAAGTATATATACAAATATACCGATCTATTTGTCATACAGTCAGTACACTACAGTGCTCTAAACATGATAGTATTATTATTATTATTAAAAACATCAAGATTTTTTGTTCATGACATCCAGTTAAGATTGCTTGATCTGGCCTAAAATTCAGAATATTAGTAAGGACTGATCACTAATGTATGTACTACTTGGCTACTTATACTGCCTCCACTTTGTCTTCTTAGGTTTATTCTAGAATTTCTCATCCCTTCTCCCATACAGTGGATGGCTCTCTCACAAACTAGCTTTGAATAGGAACATTTATAAGAACAGAAAAATGGAGAAAAGTACCAAGGCATCAGCTACCGCTTCCTCCACGTCGGAGCCTGTGTTTAGGACTCGCATGGCACTAACGGAGGATGACAACCGGCTTGACTGGCTGATCCCATATCCCGGACCTATTGACCAGAGAAAGAAGGAAAGCAGCTTTTAAACAGTCACAGATGTCATAGTGCAAGGGTGAGGGTGGGATTCAACTCTCACTAAGGGGAAAGAAAAAAAACCAATGGGACAAAGCATTTTAAAAGCAATACTGTATTTTTTCTGGGCACAATGAGGTTTTGGTCAAGTAAAAGGGAAAAAGCAATCAAAATTATTAACAAGTGAGAAACAAATGTAAAGAACCACTGTTTACTTGGTAGAACAGGGAGACGATGGCTCTGCCAATACAAACAAGGCTCTCCAAATAAAGTGAACCATAACTAACCCACAACTATGAAGTCACACAGGCAACTCACCACAAGAAAAGCTCTAATTATAATCTCTCCTTCAGGATAAGCGATTTTATTCTTTAGATGAAACAGACTGTTCAATAACCATTAAGTGACTACTATGTGCCCAATGGTCTGACACGTATAGACAAACTAGAGATGAATTCTCACCTGCCCACCAACTGTTTTATATACTTCTGTTTACAATTAAAACACTTCATCCACCATTTTGGTTTTTTTTTTTTAAACACACATATATAATAAAGATGAAGTACATAACTGAGAACATAAAACAATTCTATATTTAAAAAATGACAGTTATACCAAAGGGGGAAAAAAAGAGAGGAAGAAACAAACAAAAAACAACGCCCTCCGGCAGTTAGAAAAATGCTAAGGGAGAATAGTTACTTTGGGGGGGAAATAAGTGATTTATTCTCTAGTAAATGAAATTTAAATAACACAAATTAACTTTAAAAATGAATACTATGTGATAAAAACAGAAAAAGACAAGCTCTGAGATGAATGCAGAGATGATAGTGAAAATGTACTCATCCTTCACCTGAGGCCCCATACACATCGGGGGCGTAGAGGGCACCAGTGGATCTGGAATGGTGTCTGGAGGCTGGAATAACAGGACCATACAAACCTCATCTATCACCACAGAAACAAGAAATAGTGGCAGCACTACTGTCAGGCAAGGAGAGTCAGTTAACAGTGGTGTCACTCTTTATATTTAATGATCAGAGTATTGCCACATATGGCAACTGAACATTAACTAGAACTGCAAGATCAAATACAAATTATACCTAAGTGGACAGACACAGGCCTGTAGGAGACAAAGAAGGCAAGTATTCAAATGGAGGGAAATGTCAAAAGTACAAGCATGAAAACAAAACAAAAACAAACACTTATAGTAAAAAAAAAACCACTATGGTAACTAATAATAATCTTATCTCTTTTATTCTCAACACCTAGTGAGAGCTATTATTCCAATTGTATAGGTCTGAATTTTTGTGACCTTCCATACATATGTTGAAATCCTGACCCCAAGTGTTAAAAGGTAGGTGGTGCCCCCAAGAGGCAATCTGGTCATGACAGCAAGGTACTCATACAGGAGACTCCATAGAGCAAAGCAGTTCCTTCTACAGAGTACACTACCACAAGATCCATGAGGCAGAAGGGCCCTCAGCAGACACTGAATGGTACCTTCATCTTGGGCATCTAAGCCTCCAGAACAGTGAGATTAAATCCTGGTCACTTAAAAGTACTGAGTCTATAGCATGTTAGATAGGCAGGTAGACTAAGACGGACGGGGAATCGAGCACAAAGGCTGATTAATGTGGTGAAAACCACACCAATAAGTGATATAGTTCAGTACCTATAGTTCTTCAAGACTTTTGTTTTCAGTACTCATTTACTTCACTTACATTAATGCATATTTCATTCATTATGGTGCACAGACTATTAGTTCTGCATTTGGTAATGAACTATTGAAAAATGGAAGCTTATGTGTATCAAAAAAGTATCAATAAAACTCCTTAAAAATCTTTAATGAATCTCCCTAAATATCACTTTACAACCTAAACTTACCATACTTTTCACTTTAGATTCTCTGTTCAGATTTTGACAGCACATGAAGCTGATTCTTGTCTTACATCCAGAAATAAACAACCACATAAATCATTTTTATGTTTAATGAAATATCTAGCTTTCATTTTAAGTTCATCCTCCTCAGCTATATTAGTGAGAGCTGTCAACTACTTTTGTAAGAGGAATCACTTTTGCCTTTCCTACAGGACAGCCTTCATAAACAGTAAATTCAACAAAAAGACTGAGGGAAAGAAGGATTAGATAGAATAGAGCACACACAGATGGCTAGTAAGTACTGAGAGTACTCAGAAGCCAGCAGACAACTCTACTCCCCAGTTTTAATATTATGTAAGGGAACAGTGTAAGATGGTGAGGAAATATCTGAGCCATGATATGGAAATGCTTCGTGGCTCAAAATCTTTGAAAACTTTTCAGGAGTCAACAGTCCCTTTGGTCCAAGACAATACATAGGCAGTAGCACACCGGTGGCTACAATACAGGTAAGTAAGGTATCACACATATGGGCAGAGTTTATATAAGTAAGAGTTATCACGTGTGTGGCTACAATATATATAAGAGGTATCATGCACATGGCTATAATACAGAACACTTTCCTTTGAATCTTGGTTCCTGAAAAAAATGAAAATGAAAGGGGTGAGTTCTAGAGAAGTGTGACTTTGTTCAGCTTTGACGTCTTGTGTTTTCAAATCTTCATACTGGCCTTGTAACATGGGGACTATGTGACAAGCTATAGAATCCATGTGTTGAGTATAATTATTCAAAGTCACAGAGGACAAAGGATTCTAACAAGTCAGCATGTGTAGGAAGACTACAGGGTATAAAGAAAACTGGAACGGTGAGGACAGCATAACTTTGGATTTTTACACCTGGGAAACAAACAGGCTCCTGAAACTGGGACTCAGCAAATGCCACCACAGGGGCTGCTGAGTAGTACTTTCATGTAGATAAAAGAATTCTGATAAAGAAGTATTCCTGAAAACTGACCTAGGGATTGAAAAAAAAAAAACTTTTAGTAAAGTTGATTAAAAGATTTTAGCATCTTTATTCCAAATAGAAAGCTTCTTGAGAATCAAGAAATGCTGCTCATAACAATAAATCTAAATAACTTGTCAGAAGCTTTAAAATTAATCTAGAATATTAAAGGCCTATCTAGGCATGGTGGCATAATCCTGTAACTCCAGGACTCAGGAAAATAAGGCAGGAGGATCAGGTGATTAAAGCTAGCCTATAGGTCAGCCTGAGCTATATAAGGTGGTCCAAAAGGCATCTTTCCTTAACACTTTTCTGTGTTAAGAGAGGAAGACAGAGTTCAGTAGCAGGGCTCTTATCTAGAATGTGGAGGCCACATTCAATTCCCAGTACTATACATTTCTTTAAAAAACAGAATTATTAACCATGGTTACCATTTTTATTTTGTTGTTCTTGTTTTTCAAAGAGTATCTTGCTATGTTATAGGCTGGCCTCAGACTCCCAGTGCCTATGCCTCTCTTACTGCAGGGATTACAGGTGAGTCACTGTGCCCAACTAACCATGCTCAACATCTTTTCCCCTTCCTCCCTCCCTTCCTTTCCTTTCCTTTCCTTTCTCTGTCACTTTTTGTTTAGTTTTCTGACATTTTATTTAATTTTACATGTATGAATGTTTGCCTGAATACATGTCTATGCATCATGTGTGTACCTGGTACCCTTGCTGGCCAGAAAGGTGCTGGAGCCCTGGAACTGGAGTTAGTTATGAGTCACCAAGTAGGTTCTAGGAGCTGGAGGAAAAGCCAGTACCCTAACCTCTGACCATCTCTTCAGCCCCATGCTTACCTTTATTTTTTTTTTAAACTGAAGTATTTGGCTATGTATTTCCTGCACTCTTATTGTGCAAGCTTAAAATGTGCAGGAAAACATTTCCTTTCATTACAGTAACAGCATTATATAAATGCACACACCATTAAAGTCTGAGCACCTGGACACCAGAGTTAACGCTCTGTTTGCTGGGGAAGCCAAGGGAGAAAATGAACACTCACAGCATGGTGACTGAATGGTGGTGGCCATGGTAACTGAACACCTGCAGTGGGCCCAGTACCGCCTTTCAAGTATTCTGTTATTGTACACAAACTTCCAAACATTCCTAACTTTTACACTATTATTACACTATTACCCTTACTTTACAGAAAAGGAGATTAGGCATGAAAAGGGTACAGAGAGAAATTTTAAACATTCTTAAAGCAAAATACTCTGCTTCTCCAGTAATCCTGGAAAAATTAAAGTCTTAAAAATCGATTAATACATTTATAATGGTGGCAAATATGTATTATAATCAAAGGTACAAGACAAACTATAAACAGAAATAAGTTTCATTTCAGTGACATCTAAAGGCAATTAAACTATAAATACTATAAAAAGTCAATTTCTTCCTATGATGAGGAGTTAACATGTTATTTTGTAGCTGTTTTTCTAGAAGAGTACATAAAAAAATCAAAGTTGAAGTGATTTTTTTCTGTTTAAAAGTAATAAAATTTATTTAAACAAACTAGTCCATACTTCACTTGTAAGTAAATATTTAATATTTAAAATGTTTTAATTCTCCAAGTTTTAAATTCAATCTTCTTTTTTTTAAATTTTCTTAGAGAGAAGTATGTAGGTCAGGTTGGTCTGATGATCTTGACTCAACCTTCCTACTGCAGAAATTAAATTCGATATTCTGAGTCTATATATATGTGACACTGACTTGATTATGATAGAAATCCATTTATATAATGATTGACGTGCTCGTTTAAGGTAAGTTACAAAGGCCAGATGCATTACTCAATATATTCAATCCTATTCTCTCGGCAACATGGCAGAGCACAGATACAATTGAAGAGCACAAATTCTAGGAATATGGACGTTTCCAGACGGTGACAGCTCACTCACTGGGAAAGCAGTGTGCCTCACACCTGCTCAGACTTACCCAGGGGCTGGAAAGAACGGACTGGGCTTGTGTCCCTGCTGCTCTCTCTGCTAGCTTCCCGGCTACAGCCTTGACTCACACTCGGGCGAGGAATCCGACTGCTTCGGGCTGACATAAAACAGGAGTAGAAACATAGCAAGGGGAAGCAGAAGGCAGGATTTAGGCTTTCCAAACTTAGCTTCATTTTATTCAAGGACTCTTTAATAACAAATTTGTTTTGGGATTAAATATGAATTACTCTTTTACTCTTTTCTTTTTTGAGACCAGATATCTGGACCCATAAGTCCAGACGAGTCTCAAACTCACTATGGACCTTTCAATTCATATGTCTTTTTTTCACTCCTTATGAATAAAAACATGAAATACAAATACAAGAAATAAAAAGGTACCAGAAAAATCTGAGTACTGATAAAGAATCTAGACTGGGCAGTAGTGATGTAGCCCTTTAATCCCAGCACTCAGGAGGCAGAGGCAGGTGGAATTCTGAGTTCGAGGCCAACCAAGTCTACAGATAGAGTTCAATACAGTCAAGGCTACACAGATAAACACTATTTGGAAAAACCAGGAAAAAAAAAAAAGAATAGGAAGAATCTAAAATAATGTCTGGAAAGCAAATGAAGCAAGTTAGTGAGGATGAAATTCCAAAGGACTTTTTTTTCCCTTCGGGTTTTTCAATACAAAGTTTCTCTGTGTAACAGCCCTGACTGTTCTTGAACTAGCTCTTGTAGACCAGGCTGGACTCTCAGAGATCTCTCAGAGATCCACCCGCCTCTGCCTCCTGAGTGCTGGGATTAAAGGTGTGCACCAGCATCCAGCAAATAAAGACATTCTTAAGTAGTGACAAATACCCAGACTCTTAAACATAATTTCTGAGGAATTTAATTGAGAAAAGTTTATGAGGCAAAGCAAAAGAGTAAATGAAGAAAAAATGAGATGACGCAAGGATGAGTTGACCTAGTCCAGAAAAGAGTGACAGCCACCGCTCACACAGAGCAGTGACAGCTGTGACAGAGGACCAGGCCACCGCTCACACAGAGCAGAAGCAACTCAAGGCACAAAGCTCTACCCACCACAAGTCCTTAATGAGAAGACAATGTCACTAAGGACAGAAGAAGAAAATATGGCTCTCTTATAAAAGTTTGAAAAAAAGACAAAAAGTCATAAATTGTAGGGAGAACATTTAGGGAGGCCTCACTGCAGATCACAGCATCCAGATGTGGCCTGACCTGAGCGACTGGAGGGCTCTGAGCACACAGTGCAGCAGGAGTGTCCCTTCCCACACTCTTCAACACTCAGCACTCAGTATACTCTTAGAAAGAGGTGGGTCATGGCAGACTGTGTCCTGGTGACAAACTTTACTCCTAACAAAATAAATGTTTTATAACTTTTCATTTTTGTCGTTTAAAATAATTTGTAAGAGATTGAGTCTTTCAAGCCCAGGCCAACTTGAAATTCACTATACTTCTGGCTCTGCCCCAGGATCAGTCACTATGACCGACAGTTCACAATTTTATGGATGGTGGGAACCAAATTCAGATCCTATGAAAGAGCAGCAAGTGCTCTTACCCATTGAGCATGTCTCGACGTTAAAGTCATCTTATTAAGCAAAACTTGCTTGTGAATGAAAATGTATTAACACCGAATATCATAAAAGTTAGACTAGCAAGATGCCTCAGGTAATTCCTGCCAAGACTCATCACTTAAGTTTGATCCCTGGAACAGGTGGAAACAGAGAATGACTCCTGTAAGTTGCCCTCTGGCCTCCAAGTATGCTTGTGTGTGTGCAAGTGTGAGCACATTTCAAGATCCAATTTGTACCCGACATTTCAGCAACCTAGACTTTAATTCTCCTGGAACTTTCAAGAAAGTCAAAGGTGGCACTCACACAGAAAGTCTTACCTACTGAAAGCCTAGATGGGCTGGCCTCTCTGCTGCAGCCCTGGCTCCTTGGGATCTTGCTTCTCTTCTGAGCTGAAGCCGAATTGACCAGGACCCGTTGAGCACCAGAGCTCACAGTAGAGAGGGCTGTTGTGGTTAGAACTCTTCCTGGAGACCCGGATCGGCTTCCAGCTACACAGGAAACACATAAAAATATGCAAATGTTGATGCCAAGGGAACTAGCAAAGATACAAGAAAATTGTGGTGTTATATCAGGTTCTAAGACCAAAGAAATGGATTGAGGAAGATTTATACACAAACAGTAAACTGCTGGGGAAAAATGGGCTGCGTCTACGAGCACTGGAGAATAAACTACTCAAGCATATGTGTGATAATGGCAATACTACTGGGACTTTAAAGACAAACAGTAAAAAGATCCTCAGAGCAATCCAATATTTGACACTGTGTTTGATAAGAGTTAAGATGTTTTGTGGAGGCCGGGCAGCTGATGGTGCACACCTTTAATCCCAGCACTCAGGAGGCAGAGGAAGGCAGATCTCTGTGAGTTCAAGGCCAGCCTTGTCTACAAGAGCTAGTTCCAGGACAGGCTAGCGAGAAACCCTGTGTCGAAAGAAAAAAAAAAAAGATGTCTTATGGAAAACCACTACTTAAATTACTTTAAAAGGATGTAAACTCTTAATTCTATTACTACTATTATTTGTGTTGTGTACATAACAATGACAATTTGTTTTTTCTTAAAAGAATCTGCCTCATGAAGTATCTCTGGGCAAGGTCAGTTGGTGCTATTTGGTCAGAGAAGGTTTTTTTTTGTTTTTGTTTTTGCAGTGGGCAGTGATAAATACGGAGTCTCCTAAGTGTCCAAAGAGCTTAGAGTAAGTAACTGTTGAGTGCTCAGCTCTAAATGGGACTTCTCTCTTAAGATCCCCCACATACAGGGCTTGGAAAATACTGCAGAAGGCATTATGGAAAGAATGTAAGGGGTGGGGGAATTAGTGCTGTGAAATGTAGTTTGGGGACAGGACGTAACAACTATAATCAATAACTCACAGCAGCGTGGGTCACCTACACTTGATCCACCCAGTGAATAGCCGAGCATGGATGGAGGAAGGGCTCACGAAGCCCCACCCACATCTGAAGAGTTGGTAGTTTCAGTTACTGGGGAAGGAAGAGTTAATTTTCTTTCCCCTTGGTGTGGCCCCTAGTAGGTCACCCCCTCACACACACATACATCCTTGTATATACTGGTAGCACTAACAGGACTCAGCTGGTTATGTTTTTTTAAAAGGACATGAAGGTGGAGGAGGAAGATAAAGAAGGACTAGGAAGAAAGGCAGGGGAGACTGTATGACCAAAATACGTAATATATAATGTATGAAATTGTCAAAGAACAAATAAAAGCACTAAGTTTAAATAAAATGTTGACAAAATTGGGCCAGCTGAGAAAGAGAAATTTGTTTTTGCTATTTGAAGGCAGAGAGCTCTTGGTTGGCCATATTCTAAGACATGTAAGTACTAAGGGTAGACCAGAACTCCGAGAGAAATGTCAAAGAAGTCAGAGACATAGTCAGGGAGATATAGAGGGAGGGCCAGAAAAAGTCCCAGAGATCTGGGTATGGACTAAGCAATGTTAAGAAATGCAATGTTAGTTAGAAATGCATTCTTGACTAGCTTAAGTTGCTCTAGAATATGAAGCGATCTCCCTGCTTCTAACTCACAAGTGATAGGATTGTAGACATGTACAACCATACTCAGGAAGAAACCCATTTTTAAACTAGAAACACACAGGATACCTTTTAAAGGATGATTTTGTTGACTTTGTGTGTAAAAAATGTGAATAAAAAAATGGATCAGATAGCTCAAAGTTACAACAATCTAACTGAACGGCAAAATTACAGAGAAGTTAAACTTGCATTTAAATAAACCTTCAGGGAAACGTTTTCTCTTTGTTATCCATGTTTACTACACTATAACAGTCACTGCTCACCCTGCACAATCTTTCTCAACTGGGCCTCATTTCCAACCAGCAGATTCAAGACTCAAATGCCAATGGAAACGAGCACTGGCTGTCAAAAATGGCACCGTGTACAAGGCAGGTATTTCAGAGGGCTATCTCATCTTCCTTATAGAGGATGCTGTTTTAAATTATTGCCAGCTGTATTAAAGTAACTTTAACGAGTTTTTGGGAACTTTCAAAAATAAAAGTTTTAAAAGCTTCTGATTGTGCTAGTCTCTGCAGGCTAACAAACATGAACAAGCTAGATGTGGTCTGCTGTGATCATCATTGTTGTGTTTTCTTGGTGTGGTTTGATTAGCCCAATTCATACTCTCAGTTAGTTCTTAAATGTTATCAGCACACGCATATATATTCCATTGGGGATAGCAATATTATCAAATGAAGCAGCCGCGCTTCCTGTGATGTCAACAATGTACTTATTGAGTAGAAGGGGAGATTACTCGTCTACTTTTAAATGATCATTGTTCAAAAAGTTTCAGGATGTTGCAGGTGAAGAATCTTCAAATCTGGTTTCTTTCTCCTTTGAAGGATAGTGGAGGCATCTGTTTTCTCCATGCAATATCTAAATTAAACATACACACAAAACACCCAAACACCCAACATGCCACAAACTCACAATGCAAAATAGGCCAATGGAAGTTATGAGAAAACTTGCAATGATATAGAAACTATAACGAACTGAGCACATACAGTATGAATTCTGTTAAAACCAGTAATAAGTTTGTGTGGGTGAAGGTACTTGTAAGGAAGACTAGAGAACTCCTTGAAATTTGGGTCTATTCAGCAGACAGGAAGAGTGCAGTTTAGAAGCATAGTGACCGCTCTTTCTATTTTGCATTTACTGAATTGATTAAAAGTATGCAAGTTCACTCTCTAGATATTTAAACACACTCATGCCTTCTCCTTAAGGGATGACATTGGCATTACATTCCATGTAAGTACTACCCTCTCTTTCCCCAAAAGACTGGGATATTCCCAGCACTGAAAACTAGAAATCATTTATACTTAAAATAAAATACTGAGGCTCTTTCTCTAGTAGAGTCACCAAAGAATCGAAGAAAAAGGCATGTTCACCCCAGAAAATACTATGGAACAGAAATGGCCGAGACAGAAAACTTGAAGTTGGATAACTATTTTTTTGTGTTGCTGAATTTCAAAATGTTACTATAGGTTCCCCCTACACTTTTTTTTTAAAATATTTATATCTGTAGAGTCAACTTGGATAATTTAATATTAGGGCTTTCATGATATTAGGAAGGCAGGTCAAATAGAACTTATGATTAGCAGTTTTTGCTTCAGTACAATCACAGAATGGTAGAATATTATCTAATAGGAATTTCTGCTGAATAGAACTTATTCTTGTTAATGAAAATAGGTGACCAAACAACAGGTGCACACATAAAGTCTATAGATTCTTACCACCAATGGTATTAGCAGATTGTGATCCTGAACAAGTGTAAAGGCAGAATTAGGGTAGGGTTATAATCCACGAAGAGGGGAGGAGCAGTTTTAAAATGGATGGCAGATGAAAATAACAAAGCTTTAGTCACTTCTCAGGAAAAAAACAAACCTAACACAAAAAAGAGCAAACTTTTAAAAAAATTGCATAGCACAAATGTCTGTCACATAAGCAGCACACTGAACGGGTTCCAGCTGACAAGCATGTACAAAGCAGATGACACAAAACGCAAACGTAATGTACATTCTTCAGCTTGTCCATTATGGGAGTCCTAAATCTAAGTCGTTAAATGTTTACAATTTTCTTATTTAAACATTTAATTGAAAATTAGATATAGGAACAAATATCATATCTTACAGCTGAAGAAAAAAGAAGATGAAAAAGCTACAAATTTAATTTTTCTTAAGATTCACAGAAAAGCAAGAGGTGGGGGAAGGGAGAAAGCTGCTGACAGGCTGTACATCGTCTGTACACAACCAGTCACTACCAACAAAGCGAGGACACAGTTCTTTCTTAAAGTCAATCTAGAAGTTTCTCCATTAGGTCTGCTTTCACTTATTCTGTGAACCTGGACACACCTGCTTTGATCCAAGAGATTCTCTATTTTTCCCTGGATGGTTAATACAGAACCATGCAACCCCTCATGGATCACTACAACAGAGTGAAGATGAGGTTACAAAAATACTCCTATGTAAATGTATTGTGAAGAGACTCGCACACATATCACATACCTTTTTAACAAAGAATCTGAAATGGACACATACTCATTCAAATAAATAAGCAAGCAAACAAATAAAATCTTTCTAATATGATCTAAAATCTGAATGATTTTATAGTGGAAATGTCTTAGGATCTTAAAATCCTATGAGGTTTCACAAGTCAAATGTAAATTAATTCTGTTTTTCATTGGGGATTTTAAGTTGTAATGATTGAAAAGGAGGGTCGCAACAAAGGCCAAGAAGTCAGAAAATTATCTCACAATTGAGTTTTATCCTTAAATCCCGGTCATGGACAACTTGTGATTGATTATCTTTATGTTTTAAACATTCTAATTTCTGTGCTTATTTCTGTTTCATGAGGGTAGTAAGAATATCAAGTTATAGAAATGTGTAACAGCGACATGAATTTCAGTTTTTATTTTATTATGAATAATAACAAGGACAGTCTGTATTTTTATTTTTGGTCTATCTATCTATCTATCTATCTATCTATCTATCTATCTATCTATCT